TCTACAAGGCATGTCGACTGTGAGAAGCATTAAAAAGAAGTGCATCTTCTCATTACTTCCTCTTCCCCAGTCGTCATATTTATATATGGATTCCAATAAGTTTATTGAATTTCTACAAAATTTTGTATTGTGCATTTTTTATAATATATAATGGCATCACTTAACAAAGGTTAAAATTAAACGACTCTCATTTCAAGAAGTAACTAAGAAATGATATCAAGAAAATAAGTTATTTCCATATCAGAAATTATTGTTAACATAAATTAGATCCTTAAAAATACTATTTTGTATCCTTAAAAATTGTATTTACCGGTAGTATTTTCAGTATTTATAATGTGTATATTTTCATCAAGTACAGAAGAAATCGGGAATAAAATTACACTTTGACAAGGATTATTTCATAAATACAATGCAATAATATATCGTATAAGCAACCATATTTCTTTTCAATTATAAAGAAAGATTTTTTGATAAATATATGGTTTATATATTAATTAACGCTGTATTATATGGGAATTTTTCATATACAGTATAACTAAATGTTGTATTTAATTAATTTAATGTTTGTACAATTTTTTTAACCCCTCGGCACGCGCATGCTCCGTCAAATAGAAATTACGCACGCTCGATAAATTAGGCACCAATTTAAAAAATCTATATATATATATATAAAAATGGACGTGTATGTCCCTATATTTCACTTTTCCGCAAAAACTACACATCACACATGAATGGTGTTTGTATGTGGTAGTAGCCCCAAGTCTCCATTCGTGCATAGGGGTGGTACCCTTATAGCTATCGAGACGCCTCGATAGCTATAAGGGTGCGGGAGATATGAGGCTGAAAGTGGTTGAAAGTGGCTTTCTATTTCGAATGTTTTGTTCGAATTTGTTAGAACTAAATTCGAACATAAAACTCGAATATTGGTTNGTTAACAGTCTGTTCTCCAGTTTTTGATATGATGGTGGTAATTTGTAGTTTATTCTTTCTATTTCTGTACTGATTTGTTCATATAGGCCTTTAATATACGGGAACTTAATATATTTTGTTTTAGTTGCTTGTTTATTTTTATTTTTACATAGGTTTCTTGAATCATTAAGTCTGATTTCCCATTGTTTCAGCAATCTTTGCGGAAATCCTGCTACCGTGTTTCCCCGAAAATAAGACAGTGTCTTATATTAATTTTTGCTCTGAAAAATGCGGTAGGTCTTATTTTCAGGGAATGTCTTATTTGTTTCAGGAAGAAGAATTCACATTTATTATTGAACAAAAAAATTCCCAAGTCGAACTTTGACGAGAGTGACGTATATCCGGTGTGTCGAACTGTCGCCTTTTTATAGCGTCAACATCGGACTCGATGACCAATTAGTGCTTACTAAACCGTAGCACTATGCAAATGTCATGTGGCGTGTTCCCGGCCGACCAATTAGCCATCACCAGCCGTAACGTTATGCAAATCTGTGATTCCCAAGCCATAGTCTTATGCAAATCATGCCGTGTGGCGTAATTGTCTGCTAACCAATCAGTGGCTGTCCTTTCAAAAAGCCAACGGCCACTTTCAACCATCTGTCGATGACCGTTACGACTAAAAAATACTTCGCTAGGTCTTAAGCTTAGTTCACACTGGCGAATAGCGAATGCGAAAAGCGAAAAGCGATTTTTATTCGCTTAGCGAAATTGACCCTACAACCAAAAGCGAAAAGCGGATTGCGAATTTTAAGCAGCCAATCATTTGCAAGCAAGTGAAACGTCATCTCGAAAAACAAAATGGCTGCTTCCGATATCTTGTTGTTAACCACGTTTGTTTATTTATTGAGAGAAAAAGATACTAAAAAAAGAAAGCGATGTTGGGTGAAAGATATTTTAAAAGACCGAGAATTACATGGTTACCATGCTAATTTGGTGCGAGAGATGAGACTAAATGACAAAGAGAATTTTTTTAGGTAGGACTGTTTATACTAATTTTTATTCTCTTTAGTAACAAAATATATGACTAACAAAAAATTTATTATAACACGTTTTAGGTTTTTTAGAATGACCAAAGAATTATTCGACGAATTGCTCTGTAGAGTAGGGCCATTGATACGTAAAAAAGACACGAATTTTCGTAAGGCCATATCTCCGAGAGAACGTTTAGAAGTCACATTAAGGTATGGAATTTTGAGTTTATTACACGATATTTACTATTAATCGATTGAAATAAAACAAATTTGTGATTTTATATCGATAAGCAAGCAAGCATACGTGTCTCTAATATAGTTCTACTTTGTTTAAAATTTATTTTTTGCCACCAACATAAGTTTAAAATATTTTGATCCATTGATTCAGAGAATAATTTTTACGATTAGATATAAGAAATTAAATAAGGAAATCCGTAAAAAATAGTTCAAAAGTGGATTTAAACATAAAATTGATATTTAAAACTTATATGTTTATAGTTATATTTTAAATTAAATAAGACCTAATTTGGATATCTCGTTTTATATCCATATTGAAAATTTTTATATACAGTAGAGCGTCGATTTTCCGAAGCCCAATCATCCGAAAAAATTCCAGTGGGCAAATTTAAATTTTCGCCAGTGCTGTGGCGCTTCAATCTTTGCCTGTCTTGGGCTACTCAAATATTTTATGTTTTTGATACTAAATTAACATCTGAAGTATAATTTTTTATTGTTTTTATANCTCTCATTTCAAGAAGTAACTAAGAAATGATATCAAGAAAATAAGTTATTTCCATATCAGAAATTATTGTTAACATAAATTAGATCCTTAAAAATACTATTTTGTATCCTTAAAAATTGTATTTACCGGTAGTATTTTCAGTATTTATAATGTGTATATTTTCATCAAGTACAGAAGAAATCGGGAATAAAATTACACTTTGACAAGGATTATTTCATAAATACAATGCAATAATATATCGTATAAGCAACCATATTTCTTTTCAATTATAAAGAAAGATTTTTTGATAAATATATGGTTTATATATTAATTAACGCTGTATTATATGGGAATTTTTCATATACAGTATAACTAAATGTTGTATTTAATTAATTTAATGTTTGTACAATTTTTTTAACCCCTCGGCACGCGCATGCTCCGTCAAATAGAAATTACGCACGCTCGATAAATTAGGCACCAATTTAAAAAATCTATATATATATATATAAAAATGGACGTGTATGTCCCTATATTTCACTTTTCCGCAAAAACTACACATCACACATGAATGGTGTTTGTATGTGGTAGTAGCCCCAAGTCTCCATTCGTGCATAGGGGTGGTACCCTTATAGCTATCGAGACGCCTCGATAGCTATAAGGGTGCGGGAGATATGAGGCTGAAAGTGGTTGAAAGTGGCTTTCTATTTCGAATGTTTTGTTCGAATTTGTTAGAACTAAATTCGAACATAAAACTCGAATATTGGTTTGATTATAGAACAATTGTAAACGTTCTAGAAACGCTAAAAATAGTTCGTTTGACTTGACGTGAACAAGAGACGTCCAGAAATAGAATCGGGACCAGGTCTCTAATTAGTCTGGAAACGGGGAACCTAATTCTTGCATTTGTGAAAACGAGCAATATTGGCTATAATGTAATTATCTTAATCTTAACTATCGTTACTTTTTAAAAACCCAGCGAAGCGGGTCCTTGCAGCTACTTAATTAATAAAAATTTAGCGTCGAAAAACGGGTATTTTTACTTTAATCCAGTTCTATGATAAGTTTGTAGTCGAATTTAGTCAAAAAATTTTAATTTTGTTATAATTTTGTTGATGATTTTAATTTTTTAATATTAGAAGGTAATTAGCATAAATTATAAAGTGTTGTGTTTCATCTTCACTCCCGTTCAAGTTTATTGTCCTAGACTCGCGCTGATGTTTGTTTTTACTTCTACTAGTATTTCTGCTTTTATTTCACCCTTGTCCGTTTTGGTTACAGACGATGGGGAGATGGGCATCACGTGATCGCTTACCTCACTTTTTACCACAGAAATTACCTTACCTTGAAAGCTTTATTTTTTTTCTCGATTTTAGTTATTACTAACTATATTTTTTCGATGGATTCTTATGTTTATGTGTTTTTCAAAGATGCAGATATTTTTTTTTATTAAATTTTACGCATTTATGTTTTTTTCTTCGATTTTTATATGTAAAACATAAGAAAATTAAAAATTTAATTAAATGTTATCAGGAATGCTAAACTATAAGAACGATGTGTTTTACAGTACTATGGCGAACAGATATAGTCAATTAGTTTGTAAACATATTTATTATTTAAATTTTTATACATTATTTATCTTGATGCAATGCGACGCGCTCAGAATCAATTAATTACCATCACGCGTTATTTAAGATGGCGGCGAGACTCGATTCAATTCCTTTTTTATTTCAGATGTAAATTAGAGTGTGTTATTTTAATATAATTATAGACATAGTGCATGTTTATTATAATTAATAAATTTATATAGAAATAATATATATTACTGACTGTATTTTAAAAATAAAACACAGAACAAAAATATAATAGAGAAAAAATATATTTATATTGGTACAATACTAAAATGTTCTACATCTTTTCTACTTTGAATACAAGATTTATATAAATAATAATTAAGATGAACAGAATAAATTGGTAATGCAAAAAATTATATTATATATTATTCATTCATTCATTCATTCATTCATTCATGAACAACTTTTATTGATATATATATATATATCAATAAAAGTTGTTCATTTGTTGAATACTGCATCGAAAAGGTCTTGTCTGCTAAATCAGTGAAAGCAACCTCTTATGCCTAACTCAGTAAATTAAAAATAATTTTTTACACATACTGTTTATAATTCTTTCAATACAAGATGTAAATAAATCTTTAGCATTTTATAATGTAAAATGTATAAACGAACAATAATAATGAATAATATGTAAATGTATAAATATATATATATATATATCTATAAATGTTGTTCATTTGTCAGATACTGTATTCAAATGGTCCTGTTTGCAAGTCCATGAAAGCAACCTCTTATGCCTAACTCAGAAAATAAAAAAAATACAGAAAAATAGGTAATATAAAAAATGAATACGTTCATATAGTGTTAACTTTCTAATTCTATTGTACTTTCTGAACTTTCTATACATGACTTACATAGAGTATGTGAGTGCTCACCACAAATGTATTTATTACATCGAAAGCACCGATTTGTCGTTTTCCTGCCCTTTTTATAACTGCAATCAGAACAAAATGATTGCTTCCGTGATGTTGATGCTGCTGATGTTGTTTCCGATGTTTCATGTTGCAACTTAGAGAATTTAAGGGCTGCCGTCCTAATGTTTCTTGGTAAAGTTTCTTTTTGTGCACGTAATTTTAATTGCAGAGTCATTAGTTCAATCGATAGCAGTTTCATGAAGTGTCTTCTGCATTGGTTTTGTGGAAGTTTATTGTTTAGATAATAAATGACATGGGAATTTATGGCCAAAATATTTAGCAAACTATAAAAAAATAACAAGGGGCCAGCGTCAGCAGTATCTTGAGCAATTATAACGTGACGCCAGTTCATCAACAACGTCCACACCTCCCTTTGTAAGATTGTAAAACGTTACGATTTTGGGTTTGTTTTTTTCGTGGGTTGAAGGAGCAATGTTATTGTTGTGATGAAAAGTTGACAGTAAGAGAGTTACTCTATTTTTTTTGGGAGAGTATGATACTAAAGTACACTTTTATTGGAATCCAAAGATGCTACTGAATACAGTTCTGTTTCTTGAACTGATGAACTCTGACGGTATTTCTCTTTTATTTTTTTTTAAAGTACCGACTGACATCAGCTTAATATCTAATAGTTTTAATGCAAGTTCGTAACTTGTAAACCAATTATCAAATGTTATATTCCTTCCAGAGCCTGCTACGGGTTTACATAATCTTAACACAACATCTTTAGGAGAATTACTTATAAAATATTGGCCCTGCAATTGCACTCCCGCATATACTTCTAAGTTGCTACTATAAAAAGTCCTTGAATCTGTCAAGGCAAAAATTTTTATCCCATATTTTGACGGCTTGCTTGGAATGTATTGCCGTAATTGGCATCTGCCCCTAAATGCCTCCAACATCTTGTCTATAGTTAAATATTCCGATGGGCAATAATTCTTTTGACAATTAGTAACAAATTTCTCAAAAATATCTCGCACCGCAGCGAGTTTGTCAGTATTATGGCAGTCATTTCTAGTTGTTTTATCGTCAAATCTTAATGCTCTTATTAAAAAATTAAATCTTTTCTCCGACATCACAGGCTTAATAATTTCTATTCCGAAACCATCAGAGGTCCAAATATCTCTAACATTTACTTTATTTAATTTCATCACCGCACATGCAAACAATATTCCTATAAAAGCTTTTACTTCACAAACATTTGTTGAGATTGCATCCTGCTCTCGGCTAAATTTTTCTTTTATTATCTCCATATACTTATTTGTATTTTCGACAATATGATTTAATATATCGTCATCAAAAAAATAACTTCCAGCATTCTGAAGGTGTTTTGACAAACTTCGCTATTCCATTTGGGCCAGGCAAATGAGTTATAATATTTTCCTTTCCTCTCCTCTGAGATTGAAAGGGCATTTTCTTATTCCACCTAGTTACACGGTCTTTACCCATAAAAAATGAACCAGAAGTACTAACCTCGTCTAGGTCTGAACAAGATTGTTCAGACTCAGAGTCTGATCCTCGCTGCTCCAAAATATCATCCTCTTCCTCTGAAGAAAAAAAATTATCATCATCTTCAATCATCTCTGCTATCTCTGAAGATGATAGCAAATAAAAATCTGTTTTATCCATAGTGCTGTTTTAACACAATTGTAAAAAAGAAGAACTATACTCAAATCAACAACAGCAAAAAGAAAAATGAGCAAATGTGAGAAAACTGCACTTATATAGTATCAAAGAGTAAAAAGTCACATGACAGAGAAGGGAGCATGCCAAAATTTACCAAATATGGAAATATATAACTAGTGTTCCTTATTTGGTAAATTTTTTGTAGTCTCCCTTCTCTGTCACATGACTTAATAATTATTGCCCTAGACCAGAGGTTGGCAGTTTGTCAAGTGAGAAGAGCCAAATTGTTATAAAAACAGAATAACAAAAGCACCAGAGAGCTGCATATTAATTTAAATGTGCGAAATACGACACACGACAGGGATGCCTCTAGTGAATGTTTTTGGCATAATGTTACATGGATGGACGGACACGCATTCAATGCGTTATATATATAGATATGCTTCAAATGCTACCACTCTTATGCACCTCATATTGAACAATGCAAGTGTGGTCATGTGCAGACGGCATACGAGTCGAAGTTTGTTCGATGGCTCTATCTCATAAACACATAAGTTATAAGGCTGCAGTGAAATGAGGTAAGGTGAAATTGGAGTTTATGTCCGAAGAGCCGCAAACGTATATGCAAAGAGCTGCATGTGGCTCGCAAGCCGCTAATTCCGACCCCTGCCCTAGACCAAGCGTAACCTTGTTTGGTTATCACTGTTTTAATTAAAACGAATAACTTCAAATAAATACAATTTGACAGGAGAATAATTTATTTTTTTCTAATTCGTAGTTTTCTATCATCTTACGAAGTTTTATGACAATACTTAAATCCATAAAGGTTAATGTCCAGATACGTGGACCGTCATGGCGGCACTTCCTGTTTCAGCCTCGAAACCAGACGATTTGCAGACGACGTGTCACGTGACGACGCGAGCGAACGGCGGCGGCTGTCATGGCGCCTCATCGCTGATTCCAGCAAAGAAAAGGAAACAGTAGGGACGCACGTTCTAACCTAACCTAANGAGAATAATTTATTTTTTTCTAATTCGTAGTTTTCTATCATCTTACGAAGTTTTATGACAATACTTAAATAAATAAAAATATTATTAATCGTAATTATTATTATTATTTTACCTGTCATTAGGTGTTTTTACAGCAAAAATTGAAAATTTTAAAACATTCCACTTCTAGTTTCATCTGAAGACAGGTAATAAAGTTATATCATTTATTTAAAAGTCTATTTAGAACAATAATACACATTTGAAAAGATGGCAAAAAAAAAAAAACGCTCGTAAAATTCATATGAGCTATGTGAATTAAACTAACAGCAATAAAAGAACATTCCAATTCATGAAAGCAAAAATATATAGAGAAAAAATGTATTTTATAAACTATTGATTTGGTCCAAGCTTGACCGAAGTATATCAAGCTGAGACAAAAAAAAACTATAGCCGGCTTACAAAAAATATTTCTTTATTCAACACGGGTTTCGCGTTCTACAACTGAGGGCTCATATGAACTCTCAACAAAACCTAAGTCACAATACCACGTGTCCGAATACAATACACCTAACCCCTTCACTCTCCTTCCTCCCTTTTCTGCGGTTATTTTAGCGCACACAGGCCAGACCCGTTACATTAACACGCGAAGAACAAAATATTTTTAACAATCTACTCACTAGAGGAAATCTGGCACTTGAAACAAAAACGGTCAGGACCCTTAGTCTCGAGTTTTTCGTGTAACAACTCCCAACGTGTTGAAGGTGTCACGTGGTACCATCTCACACTCTGACGTCAAATTAGTAGTCTCGAGTTCTAACTCACGTGCTTTCCCATCTCACCATGCGAGTTGCTACTCACGTTGAGTCGAGCATGTGAGATCGCTACACGAAAGTGAAAATGGCTGACGGATACGTAATTCTTATGGTTATCGAAGAGTTAGAAAGAGCCGAAAGACGTTGTTTGAGAAGACAACGAATTTTTCGACCACGAGTAGATGACATTTATTTTCGTGTCAAGTCAATAATAATAAAAAAAATTTAATTCATAATTGATAAAATTATACAGCAAATTTTTCCAGAAATAAAAAGAAGTATCTAATTAATTGAAAAAGAGTATTAATTAAAATGATAGTAAATTATATGTATAAATTATTAAAAGCGTAGACACTAGGCCTATATTAAGATTATTAATCAGAAGTGTTAAGTTATAATTAATAAATAATCTTAATAGACAAAACAATTTAAGAAATAGATCGAGGAAGAAAATTGTATGAAGAAAGGATTAAATTAAAATACTTTTTCCATTACACAACGGATTTTTTAGCTCCAACACACGCAATTAATTTTTCAACTAATTCTTTCCATAAAGTGAATTGTATTTCTTGTAAATTTGTTGTCGAATTTTTCACTGTTAATTTTCTTATTATTTTTTACATATGTTACTAATATTTATTTTTGTTCTTCACTTATTTTTTAAAATAAAACATTAGAGGTTTTCATTTTGTTTCTGCGTACTATATTGCTATAAGACAACTTTTAACTGTAGCACGTGTAAAGTAATTCACGTTGATTTGTTTACAACTTGTTACACTCAAGTTGATTGGTCGAATCAGTATAGTCGCAAACCCAGATGCATTGTAAATAATCTCATTGTGCTACACGACACACGGAACCAAGTGAGTATGACGTATTTCCGCTCGCCTTTCGAGTTCGCTCGAAAGGTCTTAACTCGAGACTACCGATTATGTGAGTCATAGTAACACGAGTGAGTTCGATGACGTCAGTTCGAGTACAACACGAAAAACTCGAAGACTAAGGACCCAGGTATTAAACCAAAGTGTGACCATAGGGTCGGTATCTCTTTGATACCTTGTCAGGACGACACCACTGTATCCTTAGGTCGATACAGAGACCGTAAGTTTGCGCGAGCGGTTAGGTATGAGGTTTGGTCCCGGAATGGAGAAACTGAGAGATAAACAGAAGAAACTGCACTCCAGAAGTTTCTACATAAAACTCCGTTTATTTATAATCTGAATTAGGTTTACATCAGCAATTAAAATGTGAACATAAGCTACATGAGTCGGGTTCAGGCATTATCAAATTTTACTTCAATTTAACGACCGGGTGTGCGTTTTGTTTACGTGGAGAGAGAGAACTTACAATAGTGCGCGAGCAGGATAAATACCTTAGGTTAAATAGGAGATCAAGTCCGGCACAAAAGGTCCAACAGTCCTTTCAGGTGAACAGTTCTTTTCAGGTGAGTAGAAAAATGTCAGTTGAGGTCTTCTAGTCTTGTAGGCGAGGAGGATGTGGATTGGCGTTCAGGAATTTCGGAGGTAGACGATCGGCGCGCACACACAGACAGCAATAATACTAATAATACCTTCTGTGAGGGCCTTCCCTTTTTATATCAAGTCCTCTTTTCCGGGCCTTTCTCCGATTTCGTCAGCGATGACGATCTTCTTGGTCCAATGAGATGACGGGTGACACAATCGTGACACAGAGATGTACTCATCTCAACAAGGAACCCAACTCATGGGAATCGAGTTTTTTATCGATTTTATTTTTCCCTTTTCCCTTTTAATTATCTTTTTTCTCGTTCCGTCTTTATAAAGTTTATTAAAAATTAAAATTTTAAGTTTATAACACGAAATTTCTGATCCTCACAAAAGTCTCTTCCTTTTCGGGAAATATATGTTCCCGTCGATGCGTCGGGTAATATAGCTTCGTATTGTGTAAAGTTCACTCGGTCCTTTCTGCGTACTGCACGGATGCACTTCGATTCCCTCTCCTTCTACTCGATAGTCTCTCCTTCTCTCAATGGCGTTGCATGACTTTCATGATCGACAATCTCTCACAGACGACAAGGAACCTATACCAAAAACTCCCCTACGTTACAGGCGTATCTGCTATATATACCCTTGGGTGTTCAAACCCACCTTGGGTGTCCAAACTCTTCGGTGGCCAATCACAAAGGTCCGGGTTCAACAAAGGGTAGGGGTCGAGAATAAGGGGTACACGTGCCTTACAAACACAAAGAAGAACAAAAACAAAAGAACGACACAATTGAAAGAAGTAAAACTTAAACCTAGTACAATTGTAATAACTATGCAAAACATATCAAAATACAATATTAAGAATAACAGTCAGTTGCGGAGCACTACACTATCCTCGATTTCTACGTTTTCTCTACTATCTAACAGTATAAAATACTTGTTGGTGTAAAAAATGAAATTTTTATTTATATTTTCTGTAATTTGATTTGTAAATGAAAAACTAAACTTATAAAATATCAACTAACTATAAATAATTTTAACTTTCATTAATATCAGATTAGATTTTTTAAATTTCATGGGATTGTATTGTTTTTCAACTTCAGAGTAGTAAAGTTTGTTTATTTTTTCTAGCGAAAATAATAGACTTGCTACTCCTCCACTACGAAAAACAACAAACTGCTAATCGCTTTATTACTTTATTTTCAAAAATTCCCCTTTCTGTCAGCTGAGAGTCAATGGCTAAAAGTTGTTTACTTCCACTCAGGGAAATGTGATAATGTCATAAAACTTTATAAAATGATTTAAAAACATCAATGGAAAAATTCAATTATTTCCAGTCAAATTTCAGTTTTCTAAAGTAATTCGCTTTAAAATAACGCGATTATAAGCGAAGAAGCGTGCGTGCTGCCGCTGCGGCTATTTTTAATAACAGCGACTGGCGGGAAATTTGAAAATTGAAATCCGAGATCACGCGTGCCATAGTGCCGATTCGGCACCAATAATAAAATAAAAATAATGAAACGTTTTAAGCAAAAACTAAATTGCGCATTGTAAAATTCAAGAAAAGTTAGACAGGTAATAATTTTTTCAGATTTTTCACACAATTAGAATTTTTACACTAACTAATTAAAAATCAATTGGTGCTTAATCGGCACTACGCACGTGCCGACAGGTTAAAACTGTTAAATCTGTTCTGTAGATAATTGAAAGTCTTTTCTCAGTCTTCTCCACTCTTTTGGAACTGAGACAATTGACTGAAAAAACAACATGCAAAAAAAGAATTGAAATGGGAAATTCCACAAAGTGGAATGGTAATTCTATTTAATAACAGACTCACAACAACCTTTAAGT